GGGGGGAGGGGGGAGTGCAAGGCTGGATGTGGAGGAGAAGGGTGGTGCGCAGCCAGTGGGTGGTGGCGGCAGCTGCTTCGTGCAAGTTTCCTCCCCCTTCTCCCTGCTCCTGGAAGGCGGCACGGGGTGGTGGGTGGTGGTGCTCCATCCCCTCCTGCCCTACTCCCTTAATTCTTGATTGGGAATGCACTACTTTTTTATAATGGTGATAACCCATTGATGATATTTCATAGTAGCAGGTGTTGTTATCATCATACTACTTCCAGAGCAGCCCAATAGAGGATATTAATAGATCTTTATAAGAGTCTCTGCTTTTTCTTAGATTTCATAAATCATTTCAGTTTCCAAAGCACAAAGTTTTAGTTTCATAAAAGGCTCCACAGCAGAGAAGTTGAAGTTTTGTTAAAATCTTAGCCATGCAGCCATGTACTTAAGTAGTTTCTGAGATAAAAGCAGTTCTAAAATTCAGTCTGCCCAAATGGAATGCTGCATGTGATTCTAAAGTGACATCAGTGGTTTCTGCCATCATTATTTCAAGTCCCTGATGGTCTGTTGTCATGTGATAAGTCTGCTCCCCTAGTTTTTGGACTTTGGGAAGATGATTCTATACTACACAGAAACAGCTTTGGAAAGCTCTCTAAGGCTATGTCCACACATGCCTGTGCCATGCACCAGAGGGTGCATGACAGGAGCAACTGGGTCCAGCACTGGGCTGGTCCCAGCAGCCTTACCAGGGGTCCTGAGGGCCTGCTGTGGCAACAGCAGCGGCAATCCTGCCATGCAGAGCCCGGCTGGCAGCCAGAGCAGCACACGCTGCCCCTCTGCACTACTTGGCTTTTTTTTTCATGATTTTTTTGACCCCTGGATATCCAGGGGTCAGCCCCCTCACCCTGTGCTGCTCCTTACCAGCACAGACAGCAACGAAACATGCAGTATGTAGCACCACGGACATCCCTGTGGTTCCATATACTGCATGGCCCTGCCCATCCGAACGCAACCTAAGAGTGCATTTCTCCATATCTTCTAAGTAAGAGCATGAATGGTAAGTATTTGTGATCAACAGCATTTTCTGTCAGACTTGTACATTGTCTGTTATTTTAAGATTATGAAGTTTCATCTTAGTTTTACAGAATCCAAATGGATTTCTAATGTTAATTCTCTGACCGGTGTTATCTGAGCTGTAGCCAATGATCCCTTGTGTTTAGATAGGAAGATGGGCTATATCCTAGGGACAGTCAGAGAATTGAATATTTCAGGCTTAGACCAAAAGAAATATGGGAACTTTGTAGTGAGTGATAAAGATCTTTAGTAGAACTTCTCACTAAAGTACATTGAACATCAAAGGCCCAGCATCTGCAAACCCTGAGAAATAGTGAGGCCACTTGTGAGTAACTTTAAGTGATTCCAGATTACTAATCCATATTTAAAGCGTTTGTAAATGAAGGTAGATTCTTTGGGCCTTTTTACATGTGTTGTGGGGTGTGGTGCCAGGGGCTTGAAGTAGTGAACTGCATGTCCCCACATTGAAAAAATGGTGGTGGGGCTCTTTGAAATAAGCTCATCAGACGTGTTTTATTTCAAAGCACACTGCTGCCATCTTTTCAGTGTGAAGATGTGCAGGAACACTGATACATGTGATGCAGAAGGCTGCGAAAGCACGTCAATTTCAGTGCTCCAGCAGACTTGATTAAATCATTAATCGAGTCTGCTCTGATATGCTGGATTTCCAGCACATTGGAGCAGGCTTCATGCACGTGTGTAGGAGCCCTTTATTTCCAAGAGGATCTGGTCACAGAAAACATGCAAAAAAAGCGTTGTCAAAATTGTTTTGCCAAAACCTGTCCTCTGCCACTGCGCCTGCAGCACCAGTATGTGCCGGCCCCAGAGCAGCCCTGCAGGAGGTGGGGAAGGGGTCGGGTAGGTGTGTACTCTTCACCTCCCAGGCCCCCCCAAATAATATTTTCTAGTACCACTTATGGTAACAAAATAGGCTGTCCTTGGGTAAGCCACTTCACTTTGCCCATCTGTAAAGTGGAAGTGGTAATCTTGCCTCTTCATAGAAGGCTGTGAGATCTACTAATATATGGAATATTATTAATACCAAAAACAATTAGGCCAGCAGTCCTAATCTTTTCAGTGGGCATGGCTGTAAACTGTTTAGTTTTTTTCCCCTTGGTCCTGTACTTCAGTCTCAACACTTTTATGCAGCAAGATTTGTTTCATAGTGGCTTAATTCTGAAATTCTGAGAATTGGACATAACCCGAAGAAAGAGTGGTAAAATGGTTAGTTGCCCAAATTAGAGATTTCAGGATAAAATATCCTGAAAGTCTTGCATGTAATATGACATGCACATTTTAACTGCTGCTGACTAATGGAGCCAGAGTATCGTTTTTCTGCCAAATTGGCTATGGTGGGGACATTTACATGAGATGCTGACTGCACAGTAGCTGAATAATACTGCACAGTAGTGTGTCACAGCACTAATATTCTACTGCGCAGTATTATTAGGCTACTGTGCAGTAGCATCACTTAAAAGATGTTTGCCAGTGCTACTGCACAGTAACTTCAGTTACTGTGCATTTATTTAGTACTTGCTTATACAACTACTAACTAAATGCGCAGTAACCACTGCATAGTAGTGTCTCATGCAGATGCACCTGGTAGGTAGTATTCCATACCAAGTTTTCCATACTCTTTGCAGAAAATCCTCAATTTTTTGTGCTACAAGAATGCTCTATTCCACTTCTACTTTGGTCAACTTGTTGTAGAAAGGATCTGTTCATTACATTACAACTTTTGTGTGTCAAATTCTGGCACTAGTTAGAAGAAGAGTTAAATAAGTGACTTATGTACAAGTCTCTAAAAATAAACAGAAACAGAATTTTTCCACAGACTGCAGTTTTTCTCCCGAATCTCCATAGAAGCTAAAGATACAAGAACATTAATCTGTGATTTTTACACTGCTTTATGTTTAGGAGTTAGAAGCTTTTCTTGGGTGTTGAAAGGGAGAACATATCTAAAACAGCAACAATAAAAAATATCTAAAGAACCATTTTTAGTCTTTATCTTTGCTTTTATATTTAATTGAATGAGACATGGATCTGATATTCTGAAAGCAAAAAAAGGAAGCGTTACTTCATTGGAATCATCCTCCCCAAACCTTGAAGTGGTGACTATGTTGGTGCTTTGGGTACATTGGCTTCTGTGAGTG